TGTCTTTTTAATGAGCGAGTAACAATTTTTGCAAAATATATAATTTAGTGCTAAATATATTATTCAGTGCTTTTGTGCTATCTATACATACACTTAAAAAAAGCAAAAACTAAAACTGCGTTCTTTAAGCCTTAAAAAAGAAAATAATCCCTAAAACGAAAAACTTTAAGGACTACACTTTCTAAAGACTTAAGACGAGCTTTTGATCTGACAGAAATTTATTATAAAACTGAGGAGCCTTGAGTTTTTATTTAACGTCTGAAAAAAATATTTTCCTATTTTTAGTCTACTTGAAAAATGCTGATATTTTATGCTACTTTGTTTCAATTTTTTTTTCAACAATTGCTACAAAAAGCAATTAAATCCTGTATTCACAACAAGCAAAGAGTTTCAGTTTAAATTTAAGAAATTTAGCAATCTAAAAAGTGGTCAAAATTTCCTTTTACCATTCGATACATTTTTCCTTTTGAAAATAAATTATTTTATAGTGGACAGAAAACTATTGAAACTTCTGTTGTCATCCGACTCATAGTACACGGAGCAATTAAAAATGTAGTTAGTGGAGAAGTGCTCGCAATTCTGATTGACGATCAAGTCTGGAAATATCACGGGCACGAGAAGTAAAAAGCGAAAGTTAACTCGTCCTTTTGACGGGAGTCTAGAAGGAAGGGGTCAAAAAAAGTTTTCACAATAACTCTAGAAGGCTTAGGTTGTTTTTGAGCAATGTCTTTTTAGCGAGAAATTAAGTCATAATTAAATGTTTGAAAAACCTCAAGGAGAAAGTGCACTTTTATTCATACTTCCTTTTTTTGGCATTACATTTGCTGGCTTAATGCATTTGCTAGCTTATTCCGAGTTTGTTTACGCTAAATATTTGCCCTCAACATAAAGAAAGCCATTAAAGCTTTAGTTTTATTGCCAGTTATTATGGATGTTCAAACTATATGGTAACTGTAATGTCGTAACTATATGGATGTTCAAAACTAAGGAAATTTTAATATTTATTTGATAACTCCAGAGCCAGTAGATCCATTTGAATAAAATTTTGTATGGCAATACCAAACTTTAATTAACTCTTGCGTAACATCCATTAAAGTTTAGCAGGTATAAACAAAGTTTATCAAATCGAACGAAAAAAGCCAATAAAAGCCTTGTCTCTCTCTTAATTTTTCATAATATGCATACCTCGCGTGGTGATTTCATACTGAAAAGAGTTTATCTGAAGCAATTGGCACTACTCGTTTTGAAACGCTGATTTCAGGTCTTAAATAAATGCAGGGTGGTTGCGTGTTTCAAATGATCTTCTTAGAGTGTCCCAAACCTAAATTTAGAGCCTCTATAAGTTTGGAGCCTAATGGAGATCTATCTGATCAATCCAAGTGACAAATACACATTCTAGAAAATTGATTTCAAGACATGTTTTAAGTGTCCGCGTGCTGTCGCCCGTTAAAATAAAATTAAAACCAACTGCGTACCACTAAAATGGTAACTTATTAAGTTCCAAGACTCACCAGTGGTTCCTTCAAAGCCATGGAAGGGTTTACGAGCATCTAACATGTCACCTGCTAAAACTATCAAAACTTCGCTGCTGTAATGGTCAATTTGTTGGATATTGGAATGCAAGTAGGGTGTTCCCATGCCATATCTTTACACCGAGATAGCTAAGACTCACTACCTAACTAACCATGTCTGATAAATCGCACATTCTATCCGCGATGATTTGATTGCCGAGACAGACATGATGTATGTCTGCACATTCCTTCACATCTTTCGAAAGAGGCACTGTGAAAGATGTAATGTGTGGAAAGGACCCGTTGAAAACCTATATTCGTCTTTTCAGGGATGCAGACATCCCTGATTTAATTTGGATGGACAACTTTTCCTCGAGTGCTCATCTGGTTAGTACTTTTCAGGCAAATGACGATATTTTCCGCAAGGAATGGCCAGCTTGTCTCCAGACCTTAATCTTGTCTAGCATATTTTGCAACCCCGATCTGACATCCGTCCAGGACCTTAAAGCGCGTTGCTGAGTTTGAGGGTTTATTGTACTGGAATACTTATACTCACTTTGCACAGAATCCCAGATAGATGTCCCCTATTTAACCCCTTAACGATTGGTTAATTTTCAAGAAAACGGTCATAAAAGTGCCTATTTTTTTGGCTTTTGTATTTGTATTACGTATTTGATTAGTGCTGCAACTAGTTTAAAATAAACTATATACAATTACCTTAAAAATATCCTGGTACAGACATAAGGTGTGTAAAATGAGAAATAATTTTTTTTCCGGGCAAAAGAGATGAATTAGTTTTATTCTTAGTGGCGTGTTACTACTGAACACTCCAGCCCGCCAATATCACGGGAGCAAGAAATAGCTGGCGAAATTTCACCCCGTTATTTTCACGGGAACGAGAAGGAAGGGGTTAAAGTTAACCAGAAGTGGATCATTTGTACGATTTCGTAAACCCTTTTTTCCATACGTTTCGATTTCGGTTGTTGTTAATGGTGTATATTATAACTGCTAAATATTGCTTTGATTTTATAATATAAAACTATTTTCATATTAAATTTATTCGAATATGTCCCCTAGATCTGGTGCCATTGTCAAAATATGAAAATTCTCTTCATTTTGAACAGTGTATATTAAAAGTTCTGTTTATGAGAATTATCTATGCAATAAGATTTGGAAAACTGTGTGGAAAAAACTTTTCCCCAACATTATAAATGTTGGGATAAAAACGGTGACCGAATTAAACTATCATGACAGTGTTGTTCCAATTCTGAAAAGCTGAGTAAATATAGTGTAATATTGTAAACAAATCTTTGAATCTCGTGTTCAGTATGCCTTATATTTTGAGATATTTTCTACGCATTCATATCTATAAAGAAATAATAGATTTCAAATTTTTGAATTTTGATGATTGCTAACCCTGAACAAATATTTTTAGAAACTGTATTTTAGTAAAAAATTAAAAATTTCGGAAGTTTGCAGCCATAATTTATTTATCGATTAATGCTACTACTATATTTTCATTCAATGTTTTGTTTACCGAAAATAATTGAACTTTTTTCCAAAAATAAGTGTGCTTGCTTCAGTCATGACAATTTTTCTATTCATGTCGAAATTTTTTTTTTATAAATTTTTACGCAATGAAATGCTTAACATCATTGAAATATTTTTACATTACTAGTTTCAATATAAATTATAAAAGTTAGCATTGTATGCTTTAAAAACTATTTTGAAAAACTCATAATTCGAAAATTATATTATATTTTACTCTTGAGCGTGCGTTACACTAAGCGTGTTTCTAACATTTTCACACTGGGAACTAAAAGTAAAGAATTTTTTATCGTTTTGCATGTTAATTTTATTTTTAGTGATATTGAGCACTATCAACTTCCATTTTGCCCGTAGGTAGTCACATTTGTAGTCAGATAGTACTTCAGGGGCATCAACTGAAATTTACATAAAAATATTTTTTATTTCATGCAAAAATGTTGCCGAAATGACATGTATGTACAAATGTTTCCGAGACGAAAAATGTCTTAAAAATAATCGTAGTAGATGTTCAAAACATGAAAACAATCATCATTTGAGACATACACATCAATACATACTTTTCTTGAAAAGATAATCTGATAGCATAATTGTTTCTTTGTCGATGCTTTTATAGGACTGTCAAGGCATTCATGTCTATTATAATATTTATCATTTACAGCAGTTATATATTTATCTATAATCTGTATTTTTTAAAAAAAAAAAAAAAAAAGAACTAAGATAGTTTGAACTATTGAAGAGTTGAATGAAGAATTTTCTAAGAAACATTTGAATAAATTTAAGTAAATTTCTTTTAAAGTTTGCAAATCGGCTATTTGAAATTTTATTTTAAAACCGTCATTGAACAGCCGACACAATTTTGAGTTTACGACTACCAGTGTTCAACTTCGTACCCTTGTAATTTTGAACTCTATCCAGAAGACAAGGGAACTCCTGGCTCAAGTACGGAAGAAGTTTGCTTTCATCTAGAAATTTTTGGTGGAGCTAACTCACATTTGAGTTAAATGGAGAGGAAAACCACAAAAACCTGCCATTTTTAGTCTGATGGTAAGGGCATCGGGAGAAATTTGCCTTCGTGGAGGACTTTTTGAGGAAATTAACCAGCATTTGCGTTACATGGAAAGGAAAACCATGAAAACTTCTCACGATTAGCCTGACTGCAAGGGAACTCTAACCCATGATCCGTCTACCACTGGGGATAATTTGCGTCAGTACTGTGGTCGGTGCAAGCTGGGTGTGGAATTTGAATTCCAGGCATCGCTGGGATTCGAACCCGGTTCACCTCATTGGAAGGCAAGCACTCTATCCCTTAGCAACCACGACTCGCTATTTGAAATTAAATTATTCCTTGCTTTCATTTTTCTCAGCAAGTGTCCAGATGGTGAAAACTTGATACTCATTTAGCACTTTTTGAGTGAAAGCATTTGCCTTTTCTTTTTTCAATTGATTGCCAAAAAAAAAAAGACTAATATTGACGTCGACTGTTTGTTGCCAGATGTCCACGAAAACTTCTTCCTCTCATTAAATGCTCAAAGATTGTCGCTTGGTATTTTCATACACAAGGAGTTTACAGAATGTGCAAAAAGTTTAAAGCTGTATATTTAAGGAAGACATAGGAATAAAATAAAATCTGAAGTAGTTTTTTCAAACATGTCATTTAGATGTTAGGAAGAAAAGGCATACATTGTGCTACTTTTTTTTTACAAAACTGACTCAGACAACAAGTTTTCTTGAAAATGATATTTTACTTAAATTAGGTTTCTTTGAAATTTAATTATTTTTTCTTTAAAGAATAACTTTAAGCTTAAAATCATTCAAAATAAACTGCACTTTATAATGAGTATGTAGAGCAGTATAAATCAAATCTGAACTTAAGATAGCGTCTAACGTACACTTTTTGACTTTTGAAGTAAGGATTTTTACACGATTTGTTTTTGATTCAAGGTTTTACGAAACTGAAACAAGGCCAAATATTTTTGATTCGTAAGCGTGGAACATCTAAAAGGTACAGAGAAGCGTCGACCTTGTGCTAGGCAAGATTTGTTCTTTTTATACTATTTGTAGACCTTGCATAACTATTTTAATAATATCTATTCGGTATTGAAGTTTTTTACATCTGCTTCCTGAAGGTTTAGGTTGTTAAAAATAACATGCGATTTGTTTATTGTTTTATGTTTTCAAAATATTTCCTTACTCTGGTTGTATTACATATTTTTATGTTCGGTTACGAAATTAATTATCCGAATCAAATAGGCTTATATTTTTCTTCCTATACATGTTTTTGTTATTTTGGTTTGCTTCCTAAAGTTGAAGCTTGTTGTGCTGAGGAAGAATTTTAAATTTTTAGTGATTTCTATCTGTTCAATTTTGACGAATTTCATATTGTAACTATCAATTTATAACGTGGCTGAAAAAATAAGCTCATTATTTAAACAGCCACTCCTTACAAAATTTTTCAGTAAGGCATAAAATACATACGGTTAATATGCGAAAATAAAAAATTTAGCTCAAATATTTCTAACTATTGAATTTATGAACTTTCGAAGTTTTTTTAAAATTTCAAAGATGCCTGTTGAATTATTTTGCAAACTTTAGGCTCTATCTTTCTTTAAATATACTGGTATACTGGTCATAACTTTAAAAAAAAATCTGTTTTGAAGCTAACCATTAAAGGGGGGTTGGTAGGACATATACCAATAGTGCTAAAACTGACTTTTTTCTATGTAGCTTTTCTCAGCATCTAAACAAGATAAACATTACTGTTAATTCATATTTTTTCCCCTGAATATGTACATTTACATATTTACACCGCGATAACTGTTAATTCATATCTTTGGTGGAATTTTTTTTTAAAATTATGAGCTGTAAACTTAAATATTTTTAAAAAGTTTCATCATTTTTGAGCAAAAATCTTTCATGACTCAAAAAAATATTCCTGTTAACACTAAAACATTATAACAGCATGCAACTGATATAATCTCAAATATCCCCAAAAGATTTCAGAGTAATATCATAAGAAATTTCTCAGAAAATGGTTCATCGAAAAAGGTCCGTTATAACATTATTGATAAATGCCCAACTAACTCCCCTTAACAGACTATTTTCAGTTAAATTTTAAACTTAATTTTTTTAACTGATAAATAATTAGTAATTACTATGACAAGAAATTAATGCCTCTCTATTTTAACATCTTGCACCAGTATATAGCGAGGAGAACTATATCCTTGAGAGAATACTAGGGAGATTATTCTGGGGAAACCTATATCTATTTCCTTTGTAATCTTCGCCATTGGAGCGCCGATCCACTTAATGAATTTAGAGCCGTTAAACTTTTTCTTTCAAATTCTGTATTTTAAAACTATTGGCATAAGCTTTACCCACCCTATCATTTGAATAATTGTTCTTAATCTTCAAGTTATTGCGTGATGTGAAGTTTTGAAGCCACAAATCGTTAAATCGTTGCTAGATTCTAAATTGACCACAAATCCAAAAAATGGCATTAACTTATTTTTAAGTATCTGTCCGGTGCATGAATCTTTTTTTCTTATTCTCTCTTATAGACATAACATTATTAATGTAAAACAAGGTGGGATTACGTGTTTCTTTTACGTTGAGATTGAAATCACTTTATAATAGTAATTTCGGATGTCTGTAACATGTTGCTTGTTTTAAGTTTCATTGAATCTCAAAGCAAAAGAAGTGTTCAAGATTTACTGATGTGGAACTATCTGAAGGTCACCTTCCATTATGTGCAACTTAAAGAAGTGTCGGACCAAAGAACATTGGTCAATATTGTTGAGCTAATAGCTTTCTATTTAACGAATGACTGATTCGGTCTTTTCATTTTGGGAGTGGCAATGGACTTTCAATGCTAAAGTCAATAAAGTTTAGTATTTCCTACAAACGCTGAGAATAACCCTTTTGAACTTACAAAGAATGGGTTAAAATTCTTTCAGAAATAAGAAAAAGGTTATCTCTATTTTGATATTTTTGCTTTTTTTAATGGGTAAAAGAATGGGATAAAACTTTCTGTTGGTAAATTTTTAAAATCGTAACATTGTAGTGTATTTGAAAAACAAATGGTATGTGTAACGGTTCATGTAAAATTAATTGACAGTTTATTAAATACCAGTTAGAGAAAAACGGAACGAAACCGAAATTTTTCCGTTTGCTGCATACTATTTTGGTAACCTGAAAATGTTCTCAAATTCTCATCAAGTTGACAAATTAATACTACAGCTGCTATTGGATACCTGTAAGTGACGTAGTGTGGGTATCTCGACTTTGATTGGTTGTTGAAACGTTGCATTTTTTACGTTATCAACTGTTCTTTCCATTCTTTATCGAGTAAACCAAGCCCGTCAAATATCAATTCTTTTAAGTGACACATTCTAATTTCTTTCACTGAGTATTTCTTAATACAATGACAGGCACTAATTATGCATCGAATTTGCTAGGTACATAAAGCAAAAATATATTACAATAAAATACATAACCAAGTAATAAATCTACGTTAAGTAGAAGTCGTAGAAGAGCAATAATTATATTTTAACAAATTCGATCTGAGATACGGCGTTGTCTTTAATTAACTTCAGGTTAATTATACATTCTAACTTATGTTGAGAGACTTAGCTCGACTTCAGCACGCCATCTTGATTATGAACGATCAGCTGGCGCTGAGGTCATAGGTCACATGTCTGGGTGTCAGTGATCTTCGCGAAATGCAAGTACTCAATTGGTTATTTTATAGTTTTCACTGTTATAAGCACCATCTGTTGACGAGCATTGTAAACATTTTTTAAACTTGAGGAGAAAGAATTTTAGCTTATTCTAGCGGAGCAAATAGTAAGTCTGTTTTTTTTTTTCTTTTTCTTATAGAATTTCTTTTTCAAATAGTTGGCAATAACTCTGTATAAACAGATATTCAAAACAACTTCAACTGTTGAAAATCTCTTCGTTTAAGGTTTCTACTGAATAATCAAGATTATGATCAACTGAAAATATAACCAGCAAAATTGAATTTTTAAACCTTTTGGCTTAAGTTTTTTTTAATAAGTACTTCATTTAAAATTTAAACGTTACAGATAGGAAATTTAGTAATATTATTCAGGAAATATAAACGCGATAAATAGTTTCTCATATTTATATAAACTGCAAAATATTTTATTTCAAAGTATTTTGCATTTATATATTTCAAAAGTACATTGTATGCTGTGAAACTTTTAAGTCATTCCGTTCAATTTTCCAAAGCATCAAAAATTATTGAACAATTTGGAATAAATCGTAGAAAAGCTTTGATGCGAACAATTTAAGTCAGGAAATAGAAATCTACTTTGTTAACCGGAAATTTGAGTTCAGGTAATATGGAGGCAAAAGGGCTAGTTTGTCCCAATACTTGATCCAAGAGTTCCTTTGGGTTCTGGGTTGGGCTCAAAATTACAAGCTAATAGAGTTGGAATTCACTAAAATTTGATTTAGAATCTTCGTTCACTCAGTTCTTCAAATGTGAAAGAAATTTTTCATAGCAAATTCTGTTTCACCCCCATCGGTAATTTAAAATTCAAAATTAAAAGAAAAGTTATTTCAGGTAACCCTATAGGAGTAAATCATAAAGTTTTAAGAACTGAAAGAAAAAAATAACTTGCCAATAACTTGTTGCAGGACGATTTGCAGAATGATTGATGATGTTGCGGGATACCTGTGTAATCAAGCCATAAGTTTTCATTTTGATATTTTGAAAGTTTTTTTCAGTATTAGAAACGTAATGGTTTACTTTTGGTATATCTGAACTCACTTTTCTCGTAATTTTAAATTACCTAAGTAGATGAAAGAGATTTTGATATGAAAGATTCTCCAGCGGTGTAGCGTCCTCTTAATTCATTGTCCTTACTTTTCAAATGATGCATATGGTGCTCCTAGAGCCCCTGAATTAGACAGGCCGACTTATCATCTATTTTTGCTCCAAAGAGCTAACATAAGCACAATACTAACGTAACGTTAACTTGCGAACTGTTTTGCTCCAATATTGCTTGATAGGTCAGCTCTGATAGTATAGGAGCCTTAGGTGCTCCCAAACGAGACTGCGCTGTTCATCACTCATTATCTCTATCTATTTCTTTTTTTTATCCATTACTCAATTAAGCACTTTAACTTCAATTTTAATTCCCGAATCTTATCTTTCTATGCAAGCTGTAAGCTAATTCTCATATCTTGCTATCCCTCAGTTCTTTGCTTTAAATGCTTTCAAAATTTTTGCGAATTCAACAAACGGAAATATGAGGAATTTCTAAAAAGCTGCAAATCTCCAGTCAATATGATTTTCTACGCTCATGTGATAAAAAAAAAAAAAAATTCGAAAATTTAAATCAAATTGAAATTACTTTTGATTGCTTGGTGATGACACTATCTCTACTGGCCCAATCTTTTACTCCAAGAAAACAGACCTGGTAGGCTGGCAAATGAACCAGTCTAATAACGGTTCCCATTAAACATGAAGCAACTCTGACAAATATCGTTTAAATTGAGGGATATATTTAAGCTTTACGTGATAATGAATTTACCTCAAATCAAGAACTTTAAGTTTATGTTTAAATCATGCGCAATTACTATTCAGACTGAGTGCATTTGTTGAAAAGTAGAGGAGGAATGTCTCTCTCATCCGAATGTTAAGTTTGCTGTTCCTCACAACTTCCCTTCGGGGCATTTAACTTGTCATTACGCAATAATACTTCACGTTCTCGGAAGTACGAGGTCACATTCCGCAGGTCATAAGAACAGTGATACCCCCCCCCCTTAATGTCTGTTCTTCTACGGTTGATTTTCAACTTTAAAAAAAATTACCTTGATGAAAATGCTAGGAGGGGTGAGAATATTATTTATTTTTAGGATTAAAGTGATTGGAGGAAATCTGTAGAAGAACCATTTTTTTTCTTTTCATTCAATTTATCTTTATTTGCATTCATTATTTCAATTTCATCGAGAAATGCAGTAAATGTAGTTTTCGTTTTATTTTTCAATTCGGACTAATATTGAA